AGTGGCGCCTAGTTTGAGTCATAGTAAATTAACAGTTGCTGGTGGCTCGTTTATCTCTCAGTAATTACAATCTAACTGCCCCAAATTGTTTTTAAACTCGACGCCGATATGTTATCGTTTATTCTTTAATAGATGGCGACACATTTGATCAGAGAAAAAATGTTTTGTCTGGCTCTAAAAAAAAAAATTTTTTTTTATGCGCGAACTTTATCTTTATGATAACTAAATTAATATTTAATTTATGGTCTTTTACTTTTTTATTTTTGGAAAAAAAACATGTAGGGCATTGCCTTTTTTTGGAATACTATTGAAAAAAAACTTTAAAAAACTGATAGAATTGAGGACAATGAGAATAAATTTAGTAACAAATTTAAAAAAAGATAAATAATTAATAACTAACTTTAGACTCGAAAAACTAAAAGCTGTAACGAATAGGCGTATCCAAAAAATTTATTCAAGCGTAAAATAACTTCAAGACTAAGGCAAAATAAAACAAAAAGTTAAAACAATTATTTAACAAAAAATAATAGACAAAAGTCTAACTACAGTCTTATTAAACACTAGCTATCGCCCACGACTCCAACCGCGCGGAGTGAAAAAAAAAACCGTAATAATTATGTGTTCTTCAAGACCATGCTCTACATCTGTGCCAAATTTCAGCGAGGTCCGTTCAGCCGTTCCGGAGATACCTTTAAACATCCATCCATCTAAACATTCGCATTTATAATATTATTAAGATTTAAAACGGAAAACAATGCATAACCGTAGTTATATGTTGTTGCAAATTGAATGTTTCTTAAAAAATTTTACAACAGTGTGAACCCACGTTATTTACGAAACTACGTACCATGAAAGTGACATAATACAATCAGACCAAATACAGAAAATTACAAATAGAAAATCAATTAACATACCAAAATAGAAACCGAAATTTTAAAGAGAAAACTCTCTAATTAATGAAATTGTCAGTAACCAAAAAAGTCAAGGAGAACGTCGACCAAAGAGTTAAGCACTTGACTTGTAAACTGCAGGAACTGCGTTCGAATCCCGCAGCGAAATACGTGACGTACAGACGTTCTTACGGTGAAGAAAAACGTCGTCCCCTCTCCGTCGATTAAATGGAGACAACGCATTTGCAATTACGGATGGATGGACAACGGTCGCTTCGCTATTTTGGCGAATTCAGGTGGCCACTTGCCTTATAATAAGGGGACTTTTTCTCGTGTGAAATAACATCAATTCAATTTTACAAGAATGATTACGCCGTAACAAATAGTAAAATGTCAAGTTCAAATACAATTTATCAGATAATACCAGTTCGATTATAAATCGACGACATTCACAATTGATCGGTAACATAGTTTAAGAAAAATGAAGCTGTTCGTACTAAATCAATATTCAACTCAAATTATTAACAACTGGTCAATAATTAGAGAAGAGTTTCTCGAGTACTTAAACGCGCGTTCTCGACCAGTTAACGCGCGGTATTTGATTGGACGAAATTGTCCCGAATGTCTTTAATAGATTTGAGCCAGTCATTCACTAGGTTCACCATAATTAAATACGTATTTTAATAAATACTCGGTATTCCAAAGAATTTTGACCGACCGCGAAGTTAAAAAAAAAATAGTAACCTATGAGTTCTTCCAGACTATGTATAGGCCAAATTTCAGCGAGATCCATACAGCCGTTTTGAAGATACACTGTAACAAATATCTATCCATCAATCCATCTAAACTTTCGAATAAACATGAGCATTCAACAGTGGTAGAGCCCGCTTTATCATCTTGGCACGAATTTTCCCGGTCCGCCCGGTGAAATACCACGACCACACAGTAGACAGGCGTCAAGTCGAAGCAATTCCTCGTTTCGTCCGATGAGTGTGCGTCCCGGAGGTCTAATTTAGTCCTCTTCCCTTCCCACCCTTTTTCTCATAAGGAAGGGATGAGAAGTGGAAGTGGACTTTCCGAATGAGAGGATGCATGGGTAGGGAAGATCTTTACTTTCTGTGCATCCTCTCCTCCGTCGATTAAAGGTAGGCAACGCATATGCAATTGCGTATGTCTATGGGCAACGGTCACTTCGCTATTTCAGCGATTTCAGGTGACTGCTTGCTCGTTTGCCATCTTATGATATAAAAAAATAAAAATGAGCAAGATAAAATATAAGAATGTAGAAGAAGCTAGAGAGTATGTCATGATGTGTGAAATGAAGGACCCCGTTCTCTGTCTACCCCTCTGAATTACGGGCGTGATCGTTTACAAAAGTAAACGTACAATTTATAAGCACCGTTGTAACATTTATTATTGGATTGTAATCATCAAAGCATTAGTTTAATCGAGACGCTGTCAGGATGATGGATGTATGTATGGATGGAACAAATTGTATATTACATTGGTGGAGGCGTTTTTGCATATTTCTCGTTGCAATGATCCCAAGATTTATCAAAATAATAAACCAATATTTAAGATTAACTGACAGAAACTAGAGCGTCGGTGGCTCAGTGGTCAAGCACTTGACTTACAATCTGCAGGTCCTGGGTTCGAATCCCACCAATGTGTTTTAAGATTTCCGATTTACATACGTACATTTATACGACGTTCTTACGTTGAAGGAAAACATAGTGATGCAACCTGCACATATCTGAGAAGAAATTCAAAGATATGTGTGAAGTCAACCAACCCGCACTTGGCCAGCGTGGTTGACTATGGTCTAATCACCCTTAACTTAGGGTAGGCTCCGAGCTCTTCGGTGGGGACGTATAGTGAGCTGATGATGATGACAGAAACTAAAGCTTTTAAAGAAGATTATTAGAAACAGTAATTCAGAACAAAAAATATTAGTAGTTGTCGCCCGTGATTCCGTCTGTGTGAAATAAAATAAAACTTAATAAGTATATTTTCTTTTATTATAGAAAATGTTATATATCTGTGCCAAATTTCATCAAGATCCATTGAGCCGTTTTGAAGATAACTTCTAACATCCATCGATAATTTTGGAAGGAATTTGTCAGCTACTATTTTCTTCGTTAGTAATTTTGCGAGAAAAGAAATCGTACCTAGTTAAAAGGTTGTATAACCTTACTAATATTATAAATGCGAATGTTGGCTGGTTGGGTAGATCTCGCTGAAATTTGGCATAGATTACATCTACTAAGTCTTTTAATACCGCACGGTAGGGGTCGCGGGCGACAGCTAGTTTCGAATAACTTAAAAACATAACATAGTATACTTAACTAATTGCATAACAACGGTCAGTACGACGCTATTATAACTAGACGGTGACTCGAATAACAGTTAAACTGGTACAAGTTAAATATTTGAACCATTCCCTCGCCACGGCGCAATGACATTGTTTTAAAAATCTATCGCACTGGATGAATGACAATATTTATACAGAGCTGAGTTTATAAATCTTATAATTTAAACATATCTGTAATTCTTTCTTTGAATATAACTAAATAACCTAAAAGATATAGATAAAAACCTTATCATTATCTTATAACCATAAAATATCTTTCGAATAAAAAAAAGAATTAGGAAAATCGGACAACTAGGGTCGGAGTTATTGACGAATAAAAAAATACGAAAAGGTTCTCTACCTCCTCCTTTTTGAAGTGTGTTTAAAATAGTTGAAATCGCAAATAGTGGATCACCGAAATAAATATTTGACAAGTTTAACGACTTTCTTTGACATTTAGCAAAACGGAACGAGTACATTTCCTTGTAAACGATTTCACGAATTTGCACCGTGTCTGCCAATTTTTTTGTTCAACAAATAATAGTACAGGGAATCATTATAAGAAAGAATACAGCCCATAAGTATTTATAAACGTAGGTACAAACTATCGCGCGCGATTAGAGAAAAATCTTATTTAGTAGCCTGTGTTCTAGATTCTAGACGATGCTCTACATTTATACCAAATTTCAACCAGATCTATGCACTAGTTTTGGAGATACCTAACAAATATCAGACACATTGGATACTATTATGTGATATTAAATAGAATACTATAAACTAACTAAAATATATTATTAAAAAAAGTCCCTTTAGGCAAAGGTTCCGAAGATACTGGCAGCGTTCCCACTTTGAATAGCTATACTAATTCTTTGTCCGAGCTGCCAGCTCTTCTGTCCCCTGTGATGACTAACTTTTTTGATAATTCCTTAAAAAGCCTTAAAGCGCTTGAACCCCAACTAAGGTATTTTTTGCGCGCGGACAGAGTCGCGGGCGACAGCTAGTATCTAATAATTTATAGTCACTTGTCTACAATCGAACAAATAAAGAAGCTAAGTAACGGCACTTTATCAATTATAAATTAATTTCTAACATTATCTGATAAGGTAGGATCATGATAAAAACATTGTAAATTTTCAAAACCAAACAAAAGCATAGATTGTTTATCTTTCTAAATTAAGAAATACTTCAAATTAAAGCGGAATTTAAAACAAATAATAAATAGTATTCTGATCTTAAATTAATTTTTATTTACATGCAACCATAACAAATGACACGAAGTCAAACATAATTTGACTTATTTGAAAAATAACGACCGAATATTTTCCATAAATCTAAAACAAACGAACACCCACGTAGTTCACTGTTTTCGATGTCAAAGAAATACTTCTAGTATACAATATTAGGAAAAAACTTGGAAAGTTAACAAGAATTTCCCCCACAAACTAATCAAAACCTGTCCAGTTATCTTAAAACTATCAAGATTGTAAACTATACGTAAACAAAAACACTGCTGAACATAAGTTCAAGTACGCATTAACCGTTCCAACATCTCAGACGATAAAATTTACATTTCAAGCGAAAACTCGTAAAACTTTACAGCGACTATTAACACGTTTATTACTCTTTAATTAGAACTTGATAAACTTGTAAATAAAATAAAACATACAGAGATGAAAGTAACATTGATTAAAGAAAAAAAAAGACCTCCCGTTTTAAAACAATAGACCATTCAAACTAAGAAACATTACAAAATCACTCACCACGAACAGCATCTGCATGTAATGGACCACGTATCACTTTTAAAATCACGCTTTTCACTAATAATCTTACGTAAAAATTATACAAAAAAAATACACTGGTCCTAGCATGCACCCCTGTGAGATCCCCGAATTTTTTTTCGTATTATATTTTATTTCGGCGCGTGCGCGTTTGGACGCGTGCTACACAATAGCCAATGTGCTCCGTTGAGCTCTCTGCGACCGACTGGCCAACGTGCGCCGGCGTCTCTCTCTCTGTTTACTATAACCCCATGTGCAACTGTATCAAACGCTTCAATTGAAACTAAGTCCTTATTCACACAGAATAAAGTCTAAATTATCTTGTTTAATTTATAATTCTCTTATCTGTGTTAGTAAGTCGGACACTTGTGTTTGTCGTTTGTATGAATGAAAAATAAACTCAAATTCATAGAGCTTTGTGATGGCCGCAGTTCGTTTATGTTGTTATAATTGATGTTTTCGACCGCTTGATATGTCAGTTTGTCCTCGTGGCTTTAAAGTGTTTGTATCGTTTAACAAGTGTGATTCATGCAACTCTTTTGTTTCGTAAATTTTGTTTTAATATTGATGTGGGAGAGACTAGGATGAACAAACATTTAGCTGACATTTTCCTATTCATCTTTTGATGAAAAATCTATTAATATTTGTCCTTTTTAAATGATATTGTAGTACTTAATTGAAGATTAATTATTTTGTTTTCATACGAAGTATTTTTTGTTTGCAGAATTTGACAAGATATCAAACCTAGATGGTCTACTCTCTTAGGTCTGTTTTATTGTTTTTCCTTCCTTTTCCTGTGGTAATCTCACCAATCGTAATATACTAATTAAAATTAACATTTTCCTTGTTCATACCAGACAATTCGAGATTGAGTCACAATTTATTTTAATAAATCTATGTCCGTCGTACGAATTGAATTACGAGAAATGTTGCGTAAATAAAATGTCTTAGTGGTTAAGATATCTGGGTTATTATGGTCATGTATGTATGTAAAAATGTATTCAAAATAATATAAACTGTGTTTACAATGAATTTTTTTAGTAATAAATATACATTTATTGCATGAATCATAATATCTTAGCCAATGAAATCGTCGCTTACGGATCTTAATAGGACCTTTGTGCAGTACGTCTGCGGTTGCCAACTTGCATATGAATACGTCTTAACTCACTTATATTATAAACTAGCTGTCGCCCGCGACTCCGTCCGCGTGAAAAAAAAAACTTAATTAGTGTAGCCTATGTGTTCTTTCAGACTATGTTCTATACGTATGCCAAATTTCTACACATCCATCTAAACATTCGCATTTATAATATTAGTAAGTTAAGTAAAAAGCAGGTCTTCAAGGCATAAATTCCTATCCTATAAATAGTATCTTATGTCCGTCTCCTGGCTCTAAGCTACCTCCTCACCAATTTTCAGCCACATTGGTGAAGCCGTTCTTGAGTTATATATAGCGTAACTAACACGACTTTCTTTTATATATATAAGATGCAAATGATTGGATGGATGTTTGTTAGATGGTATCTCTGGAGAAGATGCATCGATCTCGATTAAATTCGGTATTGATGTAGAACATAGTTTGATAGAACACATAAGCTACACTAATTAAGTTTTTTTATATATTCACGCGAAAGAAGTCGCGGGCGACAGCGAGTTTTATATAAAAAATCGTGTCAATTCCTTGGTGTGTTCTTTTAAAAGGGGTTTAAAGTTTTTTGCTTCAGTATTAACATAATTATTAATTTACTTTTGAATGAATATAACTATAAGTCGTGCTTTGAACTCCGGTAGGTTACCGTTACAAAATATCCGCGAGCCGTTACAATGCCGCACAATGTGTAAGCTGTTTACTGGTGACTATGAGGAAGTTCTTGAATTGTTCGATTATCTTACTAATATTATAAACTACCCGTTACCCGCGACTCCGTCCGCGTGGATATATAAAAATCTTAATTAAAGTAGCCTATGTGTTCTTTCAGACTATGTTCTATACGTATGCCAAATTTAATCGAGATCCGTTCAGCCGTTTTAGAGATATCTTCGAACATATAAACGTCGACATTTTAGTAAGGCTAGTGAGTCAATACACTGCCTTATTTTCGGATTTTCTTTTTAACATTACTAGAATTTTGTTATTATTTTGAAATTATTTTTCAATTGTTTTTCTGTTTAAAAGAAGAATGGAAATAAAGTTTTTTTAGACCAACAAACGGTAACTTTTGCAGACCGTCAAGATGAGAAACGTATCTTACCTCGGCCACGTGCTCAGGCACGACAGATACAATCTGATTCAACTCATCTTGATGGGAAAAGTTCCCGGTAAAAGGAGTGTTAGTCGCAGAAAAAAGTCCTGGTTGCGCAACATTCGAGAGTGGATATTGCGAGTGCCTTCCAACTTTTTCGCCTTGCAAGAGACAAGGGAAAATATAGAGAAGTGATCGCCAACCTACACTAGTCAGAGAGGCACCTCAGGAAGACCAACAAAACAATTAATTAAGTAGGCAATAAATTCATTAAAAATAAGAAAACAACAAAACACAAACGAAAACAATGTAATTAGTTATAATCTGAATAATAAATTACTTTTAATATATTTACAAGAAAAAAACAAATAAAGAAAGAATAACAAAACTCAATAACAAATAAGTATGATTGCTATTAAACGCACGCTTCGTAGGGATCATTATATTCCCAGTCATATTCCCAGGGAGGCCCTGGAGTGGATCCCGCTAGGAACAAGAAGACGTTGCCGACCTAAACAAACTTGTCGGCGATCAGTAGCTGCCGAAATGAAGGCGATTTGGCTGACATGGCCCGAAACCAAGCGCATAGCCCAGGATAGAGCGAACTGGCGGCGCACTGTGGACGCCCTCTGCCCCACTGCGGGGACATAGGACTATAGTCTAGTTAGTCAAGTCAAGTCATTGCTATTAGTGTCATGTATGTAGAAGATATTAGTGTCAAAAACAAACGACTAATCATAATCTTACTAATATTATAAATGCGAATGTGTAAATGGATGTTTGTTATTTTTATTTTTATTTTATATCATAAGGTGGCAAACGAGCGAGCGGCCACCTGAAATCGCTGAAATAGCGAAGTGACCGTTGCCCATTGACATACGCAATTGCATATACGTTGCCTACCTTTAATCAACGGAGGAGAGGATGCACAGAAAGAAAATATCTTCCCTTTCCATGCATCCACTCATCCGGAAAGTCCACTTCCTCTTCCCATCCTTTCCTTATAAGAAAAAGGCTGGGAAGGGAGAGAGGACTAAATTAGGCCTCCGGGACGCACACTCATCAGACGAAACGCGGAATTGCTTCCACTTCACGCCTGTCTTCTGTGTGGTCGTGGTATTTCACCGGGCGAGCCGGGCCGATTCGTGCGAAGATGTTAAAGCGGGCTCTACCACTGTTAGAAGGTATCTCCAGAACGATTGCATGGATCTCACTGAAATTTGGCATAGATGTAGAACATAGTATGGAAGAACAGTTCTATTAAGTTTTTTAACTCCGGACAGACGGAGTCGCGGACAGCCACTTCGATAAATGACGAAATCATGTATCAACATACAATAATCTACCATTGTCCAACGTAATAAAGTTCAAAGTCCTTGACACCACTAACCTTTGTATAGAAGAATGCATGCACAAATAAATCTCCATCGGAAATAATTTAAGCTACATTGCAATTTAGACTCTATGCTTAAGGGTTAAAGTGTTATTAACTTGTAATTCTTATGTAGTTAATATCTTTTTATTTAAAATACAGTTAAGATGAACTTGTCTAGACAATGGTTAAGATTTTTAATCATAACATTTTAACCGTAACGCGTTATTCTTACTGTATACAAGATTTATTACATCGCTATGAGTTTAAGTAAAGAAAATTATATGATTTCCATGTTAACAATTGTATATCACGTATTTAATTTTTTTTATAATATACTCAAGAATGACGATTTTAAGCCATTAGTGCATAACGTTCGATAAATCGGACGCCAATAAAATTGTTATTTTAGGAGTTATATATATTTTACTAAACGTTTATTTTTTTTAAACAGTAGTGTAATATATATTTGAAGTGGTAATACTGTTGGTATGACATTCCGTGAAGCGATTTATCGTACGGGCTATAAAATCTAAACTTTCATATTGATTTAATATTTTATACAATTTAATGGTCAAATAAACTCGAAATGAAAATATATTACAGTGATCATAATGAAAAAGGCGTTAATAATCTTTATGCACTAATGGGTCAAGAGTGCCAGAAACCGAGGTGCATGGATGCTTAAAAGTATGAAGAAGCGAGAGATGTGTCAGGACTATGCCAAATGGAGGTCTGTGGTCTCTACCTACCTCTTTGGGATACGGGCGTGAGTTATATTTTTTATAGTACTTTACTGATAAGTTATCTTAACATCCATTAAAATGTATGCAAATGGCGAATAAATAAAACAGAAACGACTAGAGTTTAAATAAAATTATAAAGAAAAGAAGCAATTAATAAATAAAGCAAACATAAGAATTAATAAATATTTATATTTTTATTTCAAATTAACAGAGTTAAACCATTTAAAGAGATTAATTGGTTATAAACTACGATAAAACACGAAGTTGTAAAGATAAGTCGACGATTAGTGGAGGGCGCTGCAAACGCTTCCAACTGATTAATAAGCCAAGTTCACCGAACAAGTTTGATGTACGCACGGCCATCTTAATTGCATATACCGTCTGCGATATTATCTACAATTCGTTTAATAACAAATTAAAGCATCCTTTATTAACGTGATAATTAGAAATAATTATACTCTAAATTATATTACTAGCTGTTGCCAGCGACTCCGTCCGCGCGGATTTAAATAAAACTTAATTTGCCATTTCTTCCAGACAACGTTCTACATGTGTGCCAAATTTTATCAAAATCCGTGCATCCGTTCTGGAGATACCTTCTAATAAAGGGCAACAGACCACGAGGAAGATCGCCTATGAGATGGACCGACCAAATCAGAGCGGCTGTGGATGTCCCCCTGCACCAATGTACAAAAAAGACAGCGACTAGGGAGGAGTGGCGGCGCCTGGTAAAGCGGGTCACTGATACGTGATGACCACGACCAGTCTGACAAGACTGCAACGACGAAGAAGAAGAAGATTTTAAAGCACCAAGCAAGCAAGAAGTAA